AACGAATGTCTCGCAACCCTACACCCTAAACTCCAGAATCAAGTCGATCATAAAACCCCATTACAGCCTGTGCAAACCATAACAGCCCTACCCTAAACGCCCTTCGAAGTCTTATGCACGACCCTCCAAACCCTATCAGAAACTCATAGACCCCTCATTCCTAACAACCCCCGCCCAGTCTGCAAGAGTGGGATCCCCGTTGTGGTGCTTTGCGCGGTGTCGGGTTTAGGGTTTCGGGTCAGAAACTCCGTGAACCGTAGGGTTCAGGTCTCCCTAAAGGCACCTGAACTGAAAGTACCAAAATCTCCAAAACCAGTCTCTCCACATGTTCACAGAAGCTCTGAACCCCCTAGACCCGAAACCCTATATACCCTACACCTTAAACCCTAGAAACCCTAAACCCTAAACCCTCAACCCTCAACCCTAAACCCTAAACCCATTCGCCTTCGGAGGGAATAGACTTCGGCGGCATCGACTTCGACGACGACCTCGACTTCGCATCGGGCACGCTGCTGGGCCTACAGCGCGGGTGCCACACTCAGCAAGTTTAGGGTTTAGGGTTTAGGGTTTAGGGTTTAGGGTTTAGGGTTTAGGGTTTAGGGTTTAGGGTTCTGCAGCGTGGGTGCCACGCTAAGCAAGCCCGGGTCCAGGTTTGAGAGGGTTTAGGGTTTAGGGTTTAGGGTCTGGGAGTTAGGGTTTAGGATTTAGGGCTTAAGTGATGATAGGAGGGAGGGAGGAGGGGCGCCCCAAAAAAAAGACAAGCCTCGGACCCAATGTAAAGATTTTTTTTCAGGAGCCCCCCAAACAATTTTTTTCGGGGGGGAACCATCCTAAAACCCTAAACCCTAAACCCTAAACCCTAAAGGAAACCCTAAACCCTAAAGCCTTCAAGTAGAAGTGCTTGGTCTCTCCGGGCTCCGGCTCTCTAAGATTCCTGGAGCCCAATCCCTAAACCCTAAACCCTATACCCTAATACCCTAAACCCTAAACCCTAAACCCTTGAGGGCTGCAAGCCTTGTGGGCCTTGGGGGCCTTCAGGCCTGAAACTTTCCTGTCCTGCTAAGGCACCCCTAGCCGCAACTGGGTGATACAGAGAGTGACCCAAACAAACCTACTAAAGCCATTCCGGCTGGATCAGGGGCTACCTAGACTCCAAAGTTTGCAGAAGAATATTTGCAAACTTGAGATTATAGACCCTATACTAAACCCTTATAGACCTTAGAAATATTGCAGCCAGTGCAACAGTAAGGTGGGAGTGTTACGATGGACGCAAACGTCCAAAACAGGATCCCCAAAGTCAACCCCCCGAAGTGTGCCTAGGCTTATGAGAGGTGTAGAGTTTAGGGTTTTAGGGTTTAGGGTTAGGGTTTTAGGGTTTTAGGGTTTTAGGGTTTTAGGGTTTTAGGGTTTTAGGGTTTTAGGGTTTTAGGGTTCTAGGGTTTTAGGGTTTTAGGGTTTTAGGGTTTTAGGGTTTTAGGGTTTTAGGGTTTTAGGGTTTTAGGGTTTTAGGGTTTTAGGTTTTAGGGTTTTAGGGTTTTAGGGTTTTAGGGTTTTAGGGTTTTAGGGTTTTAGGGTTTTAGGGTTTTAGGGTTTAGGGTTTAGGGTTTAGGGTTTAGGGTTTAGGAACAATCCCCAGAATTTTGTTGGAGCAGAGAGGCATTGCTAGACCGGTTGGAGTCGAAGCTCTTAACCCTGAACCTTACACCCTACTGTATCCTCCTCAGGCCCGTTTCCCTGCCCGTCCTGAACTCTCTAAACCTTACAGCCTAAACCCTTAAACTCTACCCTAAATCCCGCAGTTGCGAAGCCAGAGCCGCCGCTTCACGGTGTAGCTGTAGGGCACAGGTTTCCCGAGCCCCCACCCAAACTCTGGGGTTTAGGGTTTATACGGCGTTCCAGTCTCAAGGTTTATTACGGTTGGGTTCATTGGTTCATGCCCTTAGATTCAGAGTTCATGCTCAAGGCAGTACCTGTACCTTCTTGTACCTTACCCAAGATTCCTATGAGGGGCTTCCTATCTAGTAGTAGCATACAGTAGGTAACAAGGGTTCTGAAGGTCGGGGATGAGGGTTTAGGGTTTAGGGTTGAGGGTTTCGGGTTTAGGGTTTCGGGTTTAGGGTTTAGGGTTGAAGAACAGGTTCGAGGTGCGACAGAAGGCGCCGCCGGGCAAGAGCAGCGACGAGCTGCCGTAGGGGCCTCGCAGGTTTACCTTTGTCAGAGTTTTACATTTTCAAGGATACTTAAACCCAAGAAGGAATAGAACAAAATTAAAAGTCTGTGTGTTTTCCCAACCCTGAACTAGTTACGAGTCTGAGGGCGTTTGGGCCTTTGCCGTAGAAGACCCAAGCCCTGAATCTGCTTGCGGCTTCAGAAGTTTCGGGTTTTTTTGTTGTAAGATTTGTTTGTTCCGGGGGGTGTCAGAGGGCTTTGGGGCGTCCAGAGGGCTTAGGGTTTTCCGGGATTTTGGGGGCGCTCGGGTGCAGGAGTCAAGCGCTTCGCAAAAAGGAAGTCGAGAGGTCCGTGCCTACATGCTCCCCGAAAAAGGTGTACAGAAAAAAAAGGTGTATAGAAGCATATGGTACTAAATCCTGGCGGGTCCACAACAGACCCGCGCAAAACTGTGGCCCCACCAGCAAACCTGAGATGGAGGACTTAGGTCACCGCCTTTAGTGTTGAGAAATGACGCCTTTCTGCTCCCCAGTGTGCCTAAAAGCAAGAACTTCCAGCCATTTCTACCCAGAAGAAGGTTTAACCTTCACGGAACGGATTAGACGATGTAAACCATGAACGTCATCATGTTTGGGCCATGGATGCTCTCTTCTCATCAGAGCAGAATAGACCGTCATGATGCTTGGACCCTGGATGCTCTCTTCCCAGAACGGAGAAGACCATGGACGTCATCATGGTTGGGCCATGGCAGTGCAGAAAACATGTAGACCATGGACGTCATCATGCTTGGGCCATGGATGCTCTCTTTTCATCAGAACAGAGTCGACCATGGACGTCATCATGCTTGGGCCATGGGATACTCTCTTCCCAGAACGGATTAGACTATGGACGTCATCATGGTTGGGCCATGATGCTCTCTTCTATAACTATGGTGAAGCAAACGTGTTATTTAGACCGAGGGCTGGGCAGAAGCGGATGCAAGCAAGACAGGGCTTAGTTTAGGACACGTCGAAAGTGCGAAGTAGTGCACAAAACCCCACAAATACCAGTGCAGTCTACGGATGCCCAAAAAATTGCAGAATAATTTTGGATAAAAATTGCGGGGATGAGGTGATGGGCGAAACCCAGGAAACATCGGTATTTACAGGGGATTCTGAGGGCAACAGAGCTAAACTGCCGAAAACGCGTGGGTCTGTTATGGCCCCGCCTAGTACTACATGTATAGACGGAATATGAGAGAGAGAGAGGGGGAGGGGCATGTCTGCTACTTCTCCGTCATTCTTACGAAGACCTAGTCTATTGTTTGTAAGGTGGGGGAGGTCAAGATACAGCGCAAAATGTCACGACGGCTGGGCCTTTGCATGTCAAATGTTGATCTTCAGCTTCCTTTTGTGTTTGTGTGGCTGCAGGGTTTGGATCAGGGGCCCACGCAGTCTCAACCAACCCCAAAGTAGAGAATCTCACTCTCAACCCCCAACCCAGTTCCGTCCCCTACATCTAGACCCTAAACCCTGAACCCTAAACCCTTAATCCTGAACCCTACTTCCAACGAAGTTTCGCGCCGAGGCCTGGTGATCAACACGAGCTGCCACTTCTGAGGGCCTGGGCCCTACCTTCAGACCCCCAAACCTAAAACCCCTAAACCCTAATCTCTAAAGCCTGAGCCCTAAAACCCTAACCTACAAAAAGGTGGCGGCTTCTGGATTGAAATTGGGCCAGGGCAGGCTTAGGGTTTAGGGTTTAGGGTTTCGGGTTTCGGGTTTAGGGTTTAGGGTTTCGGTCCTGGTGCTTCGGTCTTTGGGGGCTTCGTGAGCTTTTTGCTTGAGGACGGCGCAGCTGATGATGCGGAGGCCCCTGCTTCTTGAAGCTGAGATTTAGGGTTAAGGGTTACGCGGCACGACGCAAGAAGCTTAGGATATCGTCCTCGCTTCTCGCCCTCGCTTCTCGCCCTAAATTCCAAAAAGAAAACCTTTATAGCTTCGACCCTAAATCCGAGCTTTTGAGTGGATCAAAGGCTTCGTGGGGCTAGTTTGGGTCTGCAAAAACCTAAATGTTTAGCCCAAATCCCTGAAACCAGGGACCCCCTTCGCACGCGTCTTGGAGGTTTAAAGGATATATATATATATATATACATATATATATATATACATACATATATATATACATACATATATATATATATACATATATATATACATATATATATATACATATATATATATGTATATCGGAAGGCCTCCAAGGTCCAAGTCCAAGGTTTAGGGCTGGTGGAGTTAGAGGGTTTCGGGTTTTTCGGGCAACCCTAAACCCTACCCTGCAAAACCCCAAACCCTAAACCCTAAACCCTAAACCCTAAACCCGCAAAACTGGAGCCCAACCCCAAGTCTCGTCAGTAAGTCGCGCTTGTGGTGCTGGAGTGCTGCAACCGCAAATTTGGGTCCAGGGCTTTCATAGGTAGGGTGTTTAGGGTTTGGAGCGTTCCATTGTGCAGCTGGCGTTTATCTCACGAAGTTGCCTGCCTTCTAGGCCCCTAGGCTCTGCATTTTTCAGAAAAGAGAGGCTCGAACTAGTTTTCAAAGGCAGATGCCTTTAAAGAACCATGGCATGTCCCAGGTTTGGCTTCCATTTTTCTGCATTCAAAGGGGTAGCTCATTTTTACCAGTTACTAGTTGCGAAAGGTAGTACCGCAGTACATGCACTTGCACATGTCGGCCCCCCGATTGACGAGGACCCGCTCTGGCTCTGGGCGCACACGCGCGGAGGGCCATCACACGATTCCCAAAGCGCGCCCGGTCTTCGTCCACGTGTTTTGAGATCGGAGGTGCTGAGGCATGAGGATCGCTCGCCTTTACGAGCGCTTGCGCAGCAAAAATCCTGTTCTGGTGCAGAGTGCGACAGCTGGGTCCGTGGCTGCGGCTGGAGACCTCCTGATGCAGAGCATTGAAAAAGCATCTGCAGCAGAGGGCACAGCTGCACCTTACGACCTGGCGCGGGCCGGGCGAATCGCGGCATTTCGACTCTGCATCTTCGGCCCAGCTTACAGTGCGTGGCTCCGCGTGCTTGAGCGCGTCCCTGCGCCAAAGCACCCTGCTCAGGGCGTTGTACTCAAAGTACTCCTGGACCAGATAATCTGGACGCCTCCATCTGTGATTTCTTTCTACGTGTGGATGGGATATATGGAGGGACTGCACCTTGACACATGTGTAGAGCGCGCGCGCACGATGTTGTGGCCAACTCTACGGATCAACTGGCCCTTCTGGGGTGGTGTGCAGCTCCTCACGTTCAGTGTGATCCCACAGCCTTGGAGGGTAGCATGGATAAGCGTGGTGCACGTCTTCTGGAATGCGTTCCTCAGCTCGATGAATCAGGCGGCGCGCATGAGTCAGGCGCTCAGCGCAGCGCCGGCCGAGGCCGTGGAGAGGCTTCCATCCCGGCTGTCTGACACAAAGACGCTTCATTGACGGGGAGCCTTAGGGTTTAGGGTTTAGGGTTTAGGGTTTAGGGTTTAGGGTTTAGGGTTTAGGGTTTAGGGTTTAGGGTTTAGGATATAGGGTCCAGGGCACCCCTGCCCTCTTCACAACGTGACTGACATCCCGCGCGGTGCGAGCCCGGCGCACGAAGCGCTTGATGAGATTCACAATTTGCCGCCTGGACCCGGTGGCCTCATTACACTACTGGGCGACCCGGTTTGTTTTCAGCTGTCACTGAGTAGGATTGGCCGCAGCCGCCGCTTGCCAAGCCCGGAAAGTGAAGGAGGAGCTGGCTACAAAGGTGGGACACCAGAGATTCTGCGCCTCGCCTACGCCCGCCGCGACGACGTCGTCATCATTCTCGCGGGGATCGGCAACGCGGCCGACATACTCGCAGCTCTCATCTCAGGCTTCGAAAGGCTATAAACAAGAAAGCTGCACAGAAAGGGAGCAGCATTGACATCCGCCTGGGGCGCATGCTTGGGAGTTTGGGACAGGGCGCCCAACACCCTCAATATCCCTAAGCCCTAAACCCTAATCTCAGAAGCCGAAACATCCCTTTGCAAACTTGGGCTAAGCCTAAACCCTAAACCCTAATTAAGCCCTATACCCTCAACCCTATGAGCCACCCGCCCGAAAGGCACTTGCGGTTGACTCGGGCGACAAGAAACGCCGGGGGGCCCCAGCCGGCTTGGAAAGAGGATTTAGGGTTTAGGGTTTCGGATATTCCGTTTTGTTTTGGGCCCTAATGTTGACCTCGCCTTATGACCCCCCCCCCCCCCCCGTCTCAATTGATTTTTGTTTCCCCCCCCTATTGAGGAGCCCTGACCTACCCAAAAGGGCCCATAGAAAAAACAAATCGGTCCCCGGGCAGGGATTCCTTATAATTGAGGGGGGGGTTATAGTTGAGTTCCGGGATCCGAATTCCTTAATTGCGGGGGGGTTTATAAATATGAGGTTAACATTCACTCCACTCCTCGACACCAAGACCCTAAACCTTCTTTCTGACTGAAGAAGTGCACAACAGCTTCCCTAGACCCTAAACCACTGCACCCTGAATCCGGTACCCTCAACCCTAAACCCCTTCTCCAGATTTTGGAAGGACCCGGAGAAGTAGGAAAGCTCGGGGGACCCCGCCAATTTGTCCACTGGGGTTTGGCGGGTTAGCCTATAAACCGAAACTCGAAACCCGAAACCCGACGCCCCGAGCCCGATACCTTAATCCTAAGGCTCCAAATAGCCCAAAGTAGGCATTATTTACAGACTGTAGATCCCAACGTATAGATACTATTTGTATACTTGGAGCCCTAGCGTAGACAAGCCAGAAGCCAATCAGGAGCTGGAAGCATCGTTCGGTCAGAGCACGGATAGGCAGCGCGAGAAGGCAGATTCGACGTTTCACCCGAGCCTCTAACGGAGTGGAGCAGTTTAGGGTTGTGAACGAAAGGCCCTGAAAAAAACGATAACTCAAGGTGCACATCTTTATGGCTTGGCGTGTTTCACCAGCGAGCTTGAATCTGCATCTTTGCGCCTGCCGTTGGCTTGCACGGACAGCCAACTGCACAGGAGGAAGAGAGCAGTGATTGCGAACTGTGACATCGAATGCCCGTGCAGAAAGACTAGATGCAGCGCAGCATCAGTCAGTTTCCAGCAAGTCTCAAGATCAGCGAGGTCTGTGCATCCGTTCCGGACTGCTTCATACGGGTTGCCAAAATAGGGGTCCCCTTAACATACACGGGGGTCGCGGTTCGGACGCTAGCGATCAGTAGCAGTGCCGAGATCTACTCACGGACCCCTCACTACAAGCCCCACAAAAAAACAGCGCACACACAAAACCCGGGACCCTAAACCCTAAACCCTAAACCCTAATTTATAAACCCTAAACCCTAAACACTAAACCCTAAACCCTAAACCCTAAACCCTAAACCCTTACACCACGAAGCCAGTCCATCTCCTGGAACCTCCCGACCCCAACAAGCCGCACCATGCTGCCTCAGACACGTGGCTCCTACCGTTGGCTTTGGGGAGCCTGTGCGGTCCATGCTGAGATCCACAGGGTTTAGGGTTTAGGGTTTAGGGTTTAGGGTTTAGGGTTTAAACCTTCAAGGCTTTGCACCAGGCATCGCTCTAAGAGCCTAGCGGAAATCTCCCGGGCGGGCGCCGGCGGAATCCCACGGGCTTCTGCCAAAACGGGGAGCATCCCAACTGCAACTGTTTGGGGTTTAGGGTTTATAGGGTTTAGGGTTTTCTAGGGTTTAGGGGTTTGGGGGGTAGGTGTTTGGGGGTCTTTGGTCATGGCTTCAACTTCGACTTGCACAATCCCCACGCCGCACTTCAGGTGTAGAAGGCTGAGGGCTGAGGATTTAGCTCGGGTTTAGGGTGAGTTCGGCTTCAGTTTCGAATGGCAACCCCATACCGCCCAAACGCCCTAAGTCCTAAAAGAACTTCTTTGGCGGTGCAATGCTTCCCCTGTTTTTGGACGTTCGGTGCTCGTACAGTTTGCATTGAACAACAAGAGGCTGCAATCAAATGCTACTGCGTGGAAAACTATAGTAAAGCTAGCAAACACGAACTGCGCGCAAAACTCTCCAAACCCTAAACCCTAAACCCTAAACCCTAAACCCTAAACCCTAAACCCTAAACCCCGTAAAGCCCGACAGCTCCTTTGCACGCCGCCGCTGTGCTTTCTCCCCTTGGGCTACTACAAGCCCTAAAAGCCCCAAAAGCCTTAAAGCCCTACAAACCCTAAGCCCTTAACCCAAGCACAAACTCTAATCATTCAACCCTGCAATGGGTCGGTAGCATGGTGAAACGGTTATACCCAATTCCACAACCCTTAACCCTATACCGAGTACCCTAAATTTGGTAATAACCAAGTACAACCATAATTCACAACTTCTAACTTCCTGGAGGGTCGCGTCTTCCATTGTCGGATGCTGCACCCACGTGAGTGCTATGCCAGCTCCTGTCATCCTGTCCAATTGACTGCCACCTTAAACCCTAAACCCTCAATCCTAAACCCTAAACCGTCCAAGGCCATGGCATCCAGCGGCTCTACGCCAGTCATCAAAGGTGTCGGGGGGGGGGGGGGGGGGGGGGTGGGAGAGGGTTTAGGGTTTAGGGTATTGGGGGAGTTGTGTGAGTGGTAATTTTCGGTGCTCATTTTCTGGGCTTGTTGGCTTCAGCATGGCTTCAATCGCAAGCTTACGTGGTGCAATGCATCTGCAACCGAAAGCATCTAGTCAACTGGAGGAGGAGCCTGCCCATGCCATAGAATCTAGCTAGACCCTAAACCCAAAACCCTAAACTCTACGTAGGATCTTGGGTTTAAGCGACCCTGGTCCCCCACGCGCTGCGGCTGAAACGAACACTACAAGATGTGCACAAAGCATGCAGGTTGGAAAGCGACAGCTGCCTGTTCCCACAATCGGCAATCGGGTTTAGGGCTTCGGGTTTAGGGTTGAGGGTTTCGGGTTTAGGTATAAAGTTTGTCACGCCTCTATGTCAGGACAGTTGAAGCCCTAATTCGGACTGAGGGCTTCAGGGTTTACAACGCGCCATGACTGGTCAGCTCGGGTTTTGGGTTCAGGGCTTAGGCACCCTAAACCCTAGGCCCAATGGCACAGTCTGGCGACTGGCAGGTCCTTTCCGGCGTAGTTTTCGATAGTTGGTACACATTTGGGGTTGCGTATTATACCCTAACCCTAAGACCCTAAACCCTAACACCTAAACCCTAAACCCTAAACCCTAAACCCTAAACCCTAAACCCTAAACCCTAAACCCTAAACCCTAAACCCTAAACCCTAAACCGCCTTTGTTGGGCCAAAGACTCCCTGGAGCCTTCAAGCCCCCAAAGGTCGCTCATTGGCGTACCCGGTTGCTGCAGACTGGAAGCCCGATCTGAAGCCAGGGCCTTAGGGTTTAGGGTTTAGGGTTTCGGGTTTAGGGTTTCGGGTTTAGGGTTTAGGGTTTAGGGCCTTAGGGCTTAGTGTTTGGGGTTTAGGGTGTGGAAAGCTTACGGGCTCAGATAGTGTTCAGGGTTCCTTGTTTACGAAGTCGGCCCCCTTGATATCGGAAGGCTCCCAGAGCAGGCTTTCAGAGGTTTTTTGGAGGGGTAGGGTTTCGGAAGCAGGGTTTAGGTGGCTCAGGGATCCCTAACCCTTTAACCTCGACGTCACGAGCAGACTCCTGTAAAGGTCACAAGAAGGCAGGTCCGGGGTGTGGGGTTTAGGGTTTAGGGGCCGGATAGGTACAGCCTACAAAAAAGAGCTTGGGGTTCTGAAGGTCTTGGCCCTAAAACCCTAAACCCCAAACCCCAAACCCTAAACCCTCAACCCCAAACCCTAAACCCTGAACCCTATAGACCCTAAACCTGAAGAACTCCCTGACAGCCCTGTGGGTCGGTTGGACTCCTGAACCTGGGAAGGGGGCCAGCACCAGGCGGCTTGAGCGCTTTTGGGGTTCAGGGTGTAGGGTTGGGGTTTAGGGTTTGGGGTTTAGGGTTTCGGGTTTAGGGTTCAGGGTTTAGGGCTTAGGGCTTAGGGTTTAGGGTGCCAGTGCGCTGCAGGGGGAACCTCAAGGACATCACGGACTACCTTGAAGAGCAGCGTGGTTATGACATCTGTGACTACCTGATGAAGGACCGTGAAGCTTATGCCTAGGATGCCCAGTAGTCCCCTTCTTCCCTTTTTTGGGGCTTTAGGCACCTTTAAGCGAAAAAGGGCACCCTTTTTAGCCCTAGGTTACTGTGCAACCTAGATGCACAGAGGGAGTTGGTGAGTTAGCCGCCCGATGGAGTCACTGTTCAAGCGACCATTGTCCCCCAAAGCATGGCACTCAGAATACAGTTGCATAGTTGAGGGCTTCAGGGCCAGCATCTCAGGCCTAAATCATGCACGATGACTGCAGCCTTGCTGGGCTTCAAAACCCTAAACCCTAAATCCTAAACCCCAAACCCTAAACCCTAATTCAGGAACTCATGATCAAGCAGC